CTCGGATCTGGCTCGGGTGTCATGTATGTGTCTTAGATATGTAAGGGGCGAGTTCATCGTTATAGTATACAGTGATAGGTGTATAATTTTCTGATATTAAATAAGCTAGCCTCCTTGTATAAGCTCTCAGCTCTCATTATTTCAATACATTCGCTCTGAGCACTCGGTATTTCGATATTTACCTTTTCGTACGTAAAAAGTTACGCCCTCTTCCAATTTCGACGAAATTAATTGGAGTATGTGAACATTATGAGATTACCGTAAGCCGCATAAGCATCAAACAATAACCAGTACTTTTCGAATTATCTTAAAAACAAATAATTTTATCGAAATTTTACAAAAAAACAAAAAATACTCAAAAATGATTGAACACTTGAAGAAAAATAGATAGGAAGTCATTAGCGCACGTACAAAAATAATATGGGGGTAAGTGTGTACTTGACCCCCAGTATTTTGAATATTTGACAGTTATCTTCTGTTTTGTTTTCTTCACACGATGCAACTCTTTGTGCTGAAGTGATGTACCAATTTTGAGATTAATATCTTATCAAATACGCGAGTAATTAGAAAAAAACTGTTTTTAATTTCCAACTTTGACACCCTGTATATCGAATATGAAGGGCTAAAATGAAAAATGGTATCTAGAAACTCATATTGTTTTTGTTCAAGGAATATATGGTTAATGGATTGACCTCCTTTTAGCGATTAGCGGACACCCTGTATGTTATTATATTCCAGCAACCCGCAAAATCTCATCCAAATAGGCACGCCAGAAATTACTTCTGCTCAATGCGCAGAAGATCCAAACTGTCATTCATGACTTTGATGTGATATTGAAATCAGGCGTGTAACCATTTTGTTTATTACCGTCGATTTACAAAAAAATATTCAGTGAAGTGATATTTGAGAAATTTCTTATATTTTCTTTTTTATGTTTTCGGATAAATGAGGTGGTGTTATTTGGTGCTCTTTTTCATTATTGTCAAATTAGTCCATTGGCAATTTTGCACTTATCATGTCACGGTTTTTTATTTCGAGGAATTTATGTTACTCACGAATTTTTGTCTGAAAAACACGAATTTGATAATGAAAATGGAACAAACACATACCACTATTTATCGAGATATTCAATGAAGAAGTTCGAAATTTCACCCTCTTTTTCCGCGTGTCTTGAATCGATGTAGGACAATTTGGAATTTCGATAGGGTTATTAGAAAAAAGTTTGTTTTCCAATCGAATGACATGAAAATATATAAGGGCTCCAATTTGAAATAAGAAAAATACAGTGCTTTGAAACTTGAAAAGTTTGCCACTAAATTTTGCACACCCTGTGATGATTCGTGTTGATCAAACTCGGTTAGCGGAACTTTTAGGCCTTATTTAATATGCATCTTTGATGATTTTATTGACGAGGCACTATCTTTTTTGTAATTAATGTTTATGACCAGTGGTGCGAAATTTATTTTTTTGTTATATACAGGTATCGGCATAAGTCAGGCAACGCTCTCGAAATTTCGACATATGTCCGGCAACGCTCATAAGTCTGGCAACGCTGTCGAAAAAGATCGACCCTGAGCATGTTCGTGCGTCAGATAGTTGTGTCTGTGTGCTCGTCGAATAGACACGTTTTCAAAATGAATAACCAATACAAGTTTACGCTTCAAGAAAGAATTTTTATTGTAACCTCGTATCTGCGTACGAACGCGGATTACGACACTATGTTTACCGAATTTCAACAACAATTTCCGAACTCGTTTTGTATTTTTTTTTAATAAATATATTTTGACGCTGCATTTATTTATCTTAATGAAAATTGGTTGCCTGATGCAAATTGGTTGCCTGACTTATGCCGACCCCTGTATTTTTTTACGTGAATATCACTGAACCGATTTCAATTAAATTCCAGGAGTATGTAGGTAACCACAAGAAATACTCAAATGTGCAACAAAATATATAAACATGCCATTTGGAAAAACATATCATTATGACATCACACTTGTTTGGGACACCCTGTATAATCGAAAATATTTTCTTGGTATGCGCCCTATGAGACAATTGAGGTCTGCAAAATATCAAAATCCTGACTACTAAACTACTAATAACTGAGCTAAGTCGTAGTAATATAATTGTCTCCCGATTTATCCATATTTAGTGGCAAGAATGAAGAATATCATTTTTCTACAAACGTTTAACAAAGTAGCCATTAACGCTTTCAAATTCCAGCACAAAGTTGACGTTTTCCCAGAAATGTCATTCTTTGACAGCATTTGCGCTCGTGAGCGGAAATATTGAAAAAAACGCTCGCACATCTCTGTAACCTATACTTATCTATTCTTGAAAACCCCCAATTCTTTCATGATGGAAAATAGTGACAGTGAATCATCAAACACACCTCCTGATGATATAGCAGAAAGCGCAAGAGTTTGAATCTCTTATACCGGAGAATCAAGGAAGAAATATGAATTACAATATGATACATTCATAAATTGGTGCCACTACGGGATGGTGAATATGTATTCAGAAAACGTTTTACTGGCTTATTTTGGTAAAAAATCAAAGACTTTGAAGTCATCAACTCATTGGTCTATACATATATTCGATGGTACGTATACATGCTTGAATGTTAAAGATAATATCGGAATCAATAAGTATCTGAAACTTATCGCATTTCTCAAGAAACAATCTATATATTGGATATAAAGCGAGAAAAATCCAAAACATTCACCGCTGAATATACCAACAAATTTCTACAAGTAGCTCCCGATGAAGCATATCTGTTGAAAACGATGAATTATACTTTATATTTAAACTCTTTGTTGTCATCAGAAAGATAGTGCATCTTTATTTTATTGCATCAATGAGTAATGTTCAATTTGATTGCAGAGTTTATCGTACTATGGCTCAGAGGTCCGAAGCTCACTTTGCCACGCTGGTCGTCCAGTTTCAATTCTCGGTAGGCCCGACATTTTTTTTCTGCCTTGTCAGTTATTTCAATTTTTATTTTTTTGTTTCCTTTGGACATATAGGATAATATGGATAAGAACTTTTTCAACTATTTCAATCGCTCATACTTTCAGGGAAGTTATTTCCAAAAGCTGCGTTAGTAGAAAAAATCTTGTGTGTATTTCGAGCACAAAGTGTTATTGCCGCTCTCCAAAGATTACCGCGCTCCGCTCCGCATCGCGCGGCAACTTTCTTTGTCGAGCGGATATCTATCACTTTGCGCTCTAAATACACAAATAGCTATTGAAATAATGGCGTGTGTCACGTCATTCAAAAGCAATCTGTTGATATTTAACATCTCGTATTTGTATTGATAATTGATTAAATGGCCGTCATCTGGTGATTATTCACTAAATATGAAAAACTCGCCATAAAAATCATATTATTTCTTGTCGATTTTTCTATATAAAAAATGTGTCATTGAAGTACATCATGAGTATACGAGTATAAAGTGTCCAATGCCAAATTAAAAAAGCGAGTAGCTGTAAATGCATATAAAAAAGCGGAAAAAGAAGGTGACATTTCCAACGGCTTCTTGAAATCATCTCGATAAATAGTTGTTTGTTCACATTTTCATTGTCAAGTGCAAAATTACCAGTCTATGTCTCTTTTTCACCGTATATTCTCTTTCATGTGGGTACCGAATAGAATGATTGGTTTGAAATATTCTGATTGGTATCTGTCTGCTTTCTTTTTGCACGCTGAATTTTTAGGTTGATTAGTTTCCATGTTATGTTAGGTGCACTAAATATCAGAATGTGACCAATGTAAAGTATGGACAATAAAAATGTTCATTAAAGACAGTAATAGCCAAAGAATGTTTTTTTTTTCTCGATACTGTCTGTAGGTTAATCCAGTTTTTTATTGATATAATCCAGATGTGAAAACACTTATATTCGCCCTGTCATATGTCATCATTTATTTTTTGACGGATTTGCATGTTTGACCTCTTGTCACGTCACCGAATCTCACACGCAAAAATATACAGTGTGAATCAAAAAAGTCCCATGTTTCGGTGTGTCCGCCATTTGTTTAATGAAAAAAATCAATAAATACGAAGTTGACGTTTGGTCTTGTTCAGTTCTCTTTCAAACGATACCAAAATCAATCAAATCGGTGCATTAATAAAAATAGTAGATTGTTATTTGGATCAAAAGTGGCACTTTGTTTGACAAGCGAATTTTGCATTTGCGAGGCGAAGCGTCTAGCGAAGCCGATTCACATTCACAGAAGACAATAGTGCGAATAGTCCCTATTGAATACTTATATACTTGCGAGATGCTTCAGTACCAATAAAAATATTCCAGTATTCCTAATAATGATCGAGATTTTATTCAATCCCAAATTATTTTGTGGCACGGGCAATAGTGTAATGCCCAAGTTCCCAGAAATACAATAAAGAAGAAGAAGACAGAAGACTACATCGTCAACCTAACTTACTGACGTAAATATCGGCTGTCACCTTCATCGTCAAATCCTTATTCAAATATTCAAAGATTATCTTCATATTATCTGATTCTTGAGATTTGTGTTGTGTTCTTTATTATCTGCAGTAAGTATTCAATCCAAAAAATTCATTCGATATTCTGGATCGATAGTTTATGAATGAACTATCGTTAGTTTTCCATCTCTAGGCTGTCGTGTGTAACCGGCATTCTAGACGAAGAGTTTTTGGACCTTTGTTGTATGAAACACCCTGTATATCTATCATTTTCCAATAAGTACATGTATTTCATTGGAAGAGCATTGATATTACTACTAACAAGATTTTATTTTGAATATTTACAGGTATGAGCGCATGCAGTACCTTATTGGTGGAAACGAAATTTCTCTAGTTTGAAAATGATTAGGTACCCTCTATGAGTGTGACGTTTACAATGAGGATTTTAAGTAAAACGTTGTAGTGCAGCAGAAAACATTTGCCATGGACATTTTAGGCAAAGATGAATTTTGAATAAACAACTCAAAATCACATTGATTTGATTGCGAATATCATGATGCATAGTGGTGGAGATTCCACGCAGACTGAAAGTCCAAGAGAAAATTCTGAAGATCGCGTTAAGGTGTCCACTGGAGAAAAACATTTTGAGTGTGACATTTGTAATGTGAAATTCAGGCTTAGAGGAAGATTGAATGAACATCTCAAGGTTCACACTGGCGAGAAACCCTTCGAGTGTGACATCTGCCTTAGGAAGTTTTCCCAAAAAGGAAATTTGAATGCACACCGCAAGTTACATACTAGCGACATCCTCTTTGAGTGTGATATTTGCGATTCAAAATTTAGACAAAAGAGAAGTCTGAATTCCCACCGTAAGTTGCACACCGATGAAAAGACCTTCGAGTGTCATATTTGCCACGAGAAATACTCGAGAAACAGGAATTTGATCGAACACATCAAAATTCACACTGGCGAGAAACCCTTTGAGTGTGAAGTTTGTCAGGAAAAGTTCAGGCATAGAAAAACCTTGTATGATCACCGTAAGTTGCACACTGGTGAAAAACCTTTCGAGTGTGACATCTGCCTTATGAAGTTTACCCAAAAAGGAAATTTGAATTCACACCGCAAGTTACACACTAGCGACATCCTCTTCGAGTGTGATATTTGCAATTCAAAATTCAGGCAAAAGAAATGTTTGAATAAACATCTCAAGGTCCACACTGGCGAGAAACCCTTCGAGTGTGACATCTGCCTTAGGAAGTTTTCCCAAAAAGGAAATTTGACTGCACACCGCAAGTTACATACTAGCGACACTCTCTTTGAAAAACCCTTCGAGTGTCATACTTGCCACCAGAGATACTCGAAAAACAGGAATTTGCTCGAACACATCAGAATTCACACTGGCGAAAAACCCTTTGAGTGTGAATTTTGTCAGAAAAAGTTCAGGCATAGAAAAACCTTGAATGAACACCGTTACGTGCACACTGGTGAGAGACCCTTCGAGTGTGACATCTGCCATAAGAAGTTTAGGCAAAGTGGCACTTTCAAAGCACACTGTAAATTGCACAATGATGAAAATTTCTTCGAATGTAACATTTGCTATAAAAAGTTCAAGCAAAAAAAAAATTTAAGAACACATAGTATGGTGCACATTGGCAAGAAATCTTTTGAGTGTGACATATGCAGTGCAAAATTTATGCAGAAAAGTAGTTTGAATAGACACCGTAAGGCGCATGCTGGTAAAAAATCCTCCGAGTTTTACAATTCTACTGAACCCGTTGAGTTGGAAAAAATTAGCACTACAAGCAAGCATCTCAAGTTAGAAGTTGATGAAGATGAATGCAAGACCGAAATCGAATACAACGAACTACTATTTGATGGAAGAGAAAATGTCAACACAATGAAGAAAGAGGAAAATGTCATTGTAATAAAGAAAGAAGAAAATGACATCGAGATAAAGACAGAAGACAATGATTATTAGACATTATAAAGACAATTCTTTCGTGCTTGATATTAGGTGCGTTTTATTGGAAAGATTCTTCCACCGGAATGACAGTTTATGTCGTTTTATTGAACGAAATTCTGAAACTAGTTTCAACTTTTCATTCCGCCTTCTCATGGTGGGAACAGATGACAGCTTACAACTTACAGCGGAAAGATGGATAATAAAGCACGGACTGTTCACATGCGAAAAACGAATCAGAGCGGACTGTTCACATGCGAAAAACGAATTCAGAGCGGACTAGAAAATAATATGATAATATCGTTCCTATTAAGAGTTATTTTTTGTAAGGGAATAGTGAAATCATATAAAGGTGGATATTTTGAAACCAAAGAAATCAATAGTTCTTCAAAATTCGTACTATTGCCACCCTTATCAGGTTATGAGGTGTTTGACCGAGTGTTTGACATCAACACTATTTCTGTAGCAAGGTCAGTTTGTCGCTTTACAACAATCTCTGATACATTATTATCCACAACAGGGATATTTCCTCTTCTGACAACGTTCTTAACATATCCAAGAATAAGGATCTCATCATCTATAGAAATAATTTTCAGGTTTGAATTCATAAGGACGAAATATAATAATATTTACCATTCGACAGGATTTGGAAATCTTCTTCTGATACTGAGAAAGACACTTCAATATGAAACAAATTTTCCATTTTCATTTCAGAATAAAGAATCAAAACAAAAATCGAGACAAAAATGTTCAGTTTTAGGGTTATGCATGCTATCATGGCATATCAACAAATACAAAATACAAATATCAAATATCAGCTTTTTTCTATTTTTCTATGAAATGTTCAAACTGTTTGAACTTTTTTCGCTTATTGACCTTGAAACGAACTTTCTGTCATTCCGACCAATCAGAATCCGAAGCGTTATAAGCTAAAATGCGAAAAGCTGTCATCTGTACCCTGCATCATACGGAATGACAGGAAGACGATTATGAAGGGAGTGTATACGAAATGGCGGAAATGGCGGTATTTCAGATACTCTAACCTCGAAATCTGAACTAAAAATTGCCTGAAAGTGAACTCGCCTCAGAAAATATTTTGGAATTGTTCGCAATTCTACCCAGAATACTATCAAACACCTATGGACTCCTGAAATGACTTTTGAATGTTGATAAATCCATTTGCGTTAGGTATATTACTTCTTCATAATAATTTTGAATTTTTGTTATAATAATGCTAGAAAATCTGAAATCGAGTATTCCTGTAGATAACATCAGAAGACTAATACAAGTATAAATCCCTTTCTAGTATTAAGGAATCAGTTTCATCGATAAATATCAATGTATTTTGCCTTCTAATCAATGCAACTACTAAGGAGGATAACAAGAAAGCGGGAACACCATCCATTATTGGACCATTATAAATTAAAATTATAATTATGTACGGATAAACAGCAAGATCCCGGAATTATATCATTATTATATCACCTAAAAAAGATCAGCTACATGTCACAACTGTCAAAATACATTACATCGTTTTATTGGTCGTCAATTCTACTGCCACCAGTTAGAAACAAAAAAACGCACATATTATCGTGTATAAACATGATCGAGGAAAGACAAGGAATGATACTGGATACAAGATCGATAATATTAGGATAATTTCAACGTGTAATTTGATACTTACTTCTCAAAACTGACGGAAGTTTTGAAACGTCTTACTTAACTTATAACCAGTTGCGTAAAGTAAAATATTACGTTACTAGTGATGAAATGTTTATTTCAACACCAATTACGAAATAAAAATATGGATGAACGAAGAAAAAAAATTAGGCATTTTGTCGCTGATATGTGCCCATATTATTGTTTGACAGCTCGCCTACAGTTATTCATGTACCAAGGACGAAAAACTGTCTAATATAGTCGAGTTTGCAAATTGATAGCCGAGGCTAGCAATCAGGCGACACAATAATTAATAGACGGTTTTTCGCTGAAGTGCATATTAATTTTTTTCGTCGACCTCAGACACTTATACACTCAGTTCCAAAAAAATGTGACGCACTTGATATTTGACCTATCTTCTTAAAAAAAAACAAAAAATAGTAGGCCGATTTTTTTTTTATTGGTAGGTAATGCATTTGTCTTAAAAAAAAATAAAGAGGTGAAAATTATTTCCTTGATGGTGGTGGAATAACTCGAACCATGATTTATTCTTAATTTTTGACTCACCCTCTGTGTGTTAATTGAGTAATGGTATACAAAGTGCTTGCACCCTATACGAAAGAGGCTTCTTTTGCGAGCATTTTGTTTTTTTATTCATTGATTCATCTCTAAAATTTTCCGAATTACAGCTTTTTTGCTGAATCCTTGCAGATTACCAACTTTCTGAATTTATCGAGAAACAATTTTCTAATGAAATAAACTGATACCAATAATTTCAAAAAAACATTTTCATTAAACACAAAATTATAAATTGGGATGACTGCTTAATACCGTGACTATTGTGACAGAGTTTAAAAAAAATTGAAATTTTTTTTCTCTAGATTTTTAGCTCGGCAAAATAACGCTAAAGTATTTTGTGTTCAAACGTAATTATTTGATTCGAAAAACGTGAATTCACATAGAATTATACATTATAATTCAAAGCTCGGCAAAATAACGCCGAAGTATTTTGTGTTCAAATGTCAACATTTGGTGACAGTCTTCAGAAAATGTAAATTCGCACACTATTATACATTATAATTCAACATACTTCAATGGGCAAGACATAATCGTTCATTGGCAAGACCGGCCCTGGTTTCAAAATAAGTGCGCCTGCTCACAACCTTGAATCCGCCATGTCTGCGCGATATCATGCATCGGCATTCCATTTGTAGGGTTATAATTCAGTGCTCAGCCCTAGGAGATAGGCTTCTGCGACGAACACTTCGCATATGCACCCACATTGTTTGGCTAACACCAGCCACCTGTCTTGCTTGTAGGATTTTATCTATACAGTTTTTAAATTGTACATGTGTCTTTTATATGGGTTTCGTGCAAGAACTGTCAGATGACCGACCCTGGAGGTGAAACATTGAAACACAACCTCACATTTCTTAGTTTAGTTTAGTTTAGTTTAGTTTATTTAACAACGTTATGTACAAAAAATACATTTGTTGCAGGTCATGAACATTACATCTAGTGGGTAATGTAGGGTTATGAACATAAGTGCATATAAATGGTACCAAATCAATAAAGCACACACAAAAAAACATAAAAACAGAGTTTTGTCAAACACAAATAAAAATGTTAAAATTGAAAAGCTATTATACTTATTGTACTATGAACCTAACAAGAAGATCAACAAATCAGCATGTAAATATGGACGTCAAATTCAATTTCATATCACGTTTCGAATGATGTTCGTAAGAATTCCTCAGTTGTATAAAAACAGTGCTTCACAATGAATTTCCTCAGGAGATTTTTAAAGTGAAGGTAATCAGTATTGGTCAGTTTAGTTGGAAGTACATTATAGAGCTTCAAATTTATGGAATTTTTTTGTGATTTTGCAAGTCGGTATCTTGGAATTTGCAGTAGATTAGCAGACCTAGTATTGTATTCATGATGATCACCCCGAACCTGAAATTTACTTTTGTTTTTATGGATTTCCAGTAACGAATAGTAAATAAATAGCGATGGCAAAGGCATTATGGAATATTTAATGAATAGCGGTTGGCAGTGCTGACGGGTGCTCGCACCAGCAATGACTCTTATTGCCCATTTCTGCAATCGGAAAATCTTTATAGCGTTTGTAGCATTTCCCCAAAGAATAATTCCATAACTCAAATGTGAGTGGATTAGGGAATAATAAACGGACAGGAGAGTATTCTCATTAACACTTTTTTTAAGTTGTCTCAATAGAAAAATATAAGAAGAAACTTTGTTACTGATATGGGTGATATGAGTCGACCAATTTAGAGAATCGTCTAGGTATATACCCAAAAGCTTGGCACTTCCACCCTCGCAGTGATGTCTGTTGCTCGAGAAAATCAGTTTATGTGTTTTGTCCCGATTCAGTTTTAATTTATTAGCAGTAAACCATTCTTCAGCAAGATTTTCAGTGTTATTTATAGCTACATGTAGACTGGCAATGCTGCAGTCGCTATTAATCAAGGTAGAATCATCTGCGAACATGATTAGTCTATTTGGAAATAAATAATAGAAGAGATCGTTTACATAGGTGATAAAAAGTAGCGGTCCGAGTACCGAGCCTTGGGGTATACCATGTTCAATAAACTTGAATTCGGATGTGTTGTTATCAGTCACAACACACTGTTTTCTGTTCTTCAAGTAAGACCTCATTAAATTGAGGGGGGTACCTCTGACTCCGTAGTAAGTGAGTTTCTCGAGGAGAATTTCGTGATTGACACAGTCGAAGGCCTTGCTGAGATCACACATGGTAACGGCCGTGTGTTTCCCCTCCTCAAGGCCCTCGACTATGTCTGCCACGATTTTACATACGGCATCAATTGTTGAACACCCTTGCCTGAAGCCAAATTGACTCTGGTGCAGTAAATTGAATCTTTCAAAATATTTAATTAAACGATTTTTCAAAATGATTTCAATTAGTTTGCCAAATATTGGGATGATAGAAATGGGTCGGTAATTGTCGGGAAGTTGAACATCCCCTTTTTTGAATATAGGAATGATCTTAGAGACTTTGAAGATATCCGGGAAAGAACCCTGTTCGAAACATGAGTTAATAAGGTAAACTAACGGCGCAACTAGAATGTCCTGAGATTCTTTTATGATTTTGCTCGTCAGATCATATAAATCTGCGCTGGAGGTATTTTTGAGGCGTTTTATAGCATCCAAAATTTCTAAATTCGTTACTGGTCCCAAGAAAAAATTTGCACTATGTTTTGGTATGAACTCCAAGTAACTGTTGGCGTCATAGTTCGATGCAGGTAAAGACCTTGTTACGT